GTTGAGCAGAACTGTTATAGCTTGCATAAAATTGTAGCCTGCATGCTTAAGCATTTCATAACTTATTTCAGAGGGCCTACAGGCCTTGGTGTTTGGTAGTGCACTTAATGTAAAGATTATTTCTTTTTGAGAGAAGTTATTAAGTGCTTCAGAGTACCAAGTATGCTGTATATGTAGCTTTGGGCTATATTCAGTTTGCTATTAAGTATCAAATAGGTCCTGGTTGATTGATCGAAATGCTGTCCAATTCTCAAAGTGTTGCTGAATATGGGTCTTAACTAAGGATGGTTTTGTGATAATATCCTGGTTTAGTTTGATATTGTTAAATTTTATAGAATTCTTGTATCTGTTGAGAATACTATTGAGTATAGAGATGGGGTTGGATTGAAGTTTAGTACATCTTTTAACAATTGTTTAATTGATCTGCTATCATGTTTGTTTTATATTTTCTAAATTGCAAGCATGGTATAGCTTTTTCTACTTCAAGTTGGCCTTAGCTAGCCAGTTGGTGGTTGGGTAGGTGGTAGCTAGTAGAGGTGAAACTTGCAAGTTGTGTAGCTGGTTGAGTTGGGTTATTTTTGTATCTAGTTGGGCTGAGGTTTGCTGCTTATGCTTGAGGTGATGTTTACTTGTCTGATTATGTTGCTAAGCTCTTTAAGACCATGGTGAAGCTAGGTAGCTTTTGACAAAAAGGTGTAATGAAAGTTGCAGACTGTGAATCTTTTGTATGAGATATTTTGAAATGCTGCTATGATAAGGCTGGTCTGGATTTTATGCCAAGTAGTCTCTAGAGATTCTGAGATTGAGGTTGTAAGGGGGGTGTTGTGTTGGTTTAGATTAAGGCTGACTTGGTTGCTAAAGCTTTCTCATTTTTTACTATCCATGAGTTTGTAGTCAAATACTCTTCTTTTTGTTCTAGTTTTGTATCTTTGTTGGCCTGTTATTGTATAGAGGAAGAGCCAGCAGGATATAAGTATTTTGTGGTCACTTTGTGTACTAGTACTGGGGTCATCTGTGTCATAATCAGTCAGGTATTGTAAGATGAGCTGGTATACTCATATATAGTCAATTTTACTTCTAAGATTGGCTCTTTGCTATGTGGGTGCTGCTTTTGAGAATGTGAGACTACATTGTGCATATTGTTGTATATAAGATACTGTAGAAGTTTATATTTAATTAATTATGAGTATATATTGTCTGTAGAGGCATTGAAGTCTTCTAATACAATAGGGAGTTGATTCTGTATGTTGGCTTGCTGTAGCTATTTAATAGTTGTATTTTGGGCCTAAAGTCTAAGATGCGCATTATTGCTCAGTAGGTAAAGAGATATAACATGAAACTTAAAATTATTTTTGAAGAGAAGATCAATTGCTATTGCATATTTCTGAAGTGTTTTGATATTGTGGATGTGAGAAGTTAGGTTGTTACAAATTATAATAGCTGTTCCAGCTCTGGAGCTATCAGTACATATCTAGAAGTAGGTATAGTATATTGTACTGTAAATCAAAACCATATGTGATATCATATAAAAACCCATTATTGAAGATTTTTTTTTTACAACTAATGTACAACACAGCAGTACATATATTGACCTTGATAGCTTACTTATTATTACTTTATTAAGGAATATTTGGCTGATATATGATTACTATTATTAAAGAATATTTAGCTAATATATGATTACTATAGTTAGCTGGTATACGATTGTTATTATTAAAGAATAGTTAGCTGGAATATGATTGCTATTATTAAAGAATTTTTAGCTGATATATGATTGCTATTAATATTATTAAATAAACATTTTTAGATATAGAGGACAATTTATATTACTGTTGAACCTCTCAAAACGATATGCATGGTGGACAAATTTAGCACAATTTGGACTTGAAAAAAATGAGTCGGTTGGTTACACAAAATCAGCATTACATGGCCTAAACTATTGAATTTCATTTTTGGCTTGTGAGTATAAGATTATTTACAATCAACTATCGATATAACGAGCATGTATAAACGGATAAAAGATATTTATTATAAATTCGTTATTTTCAAAAATTTTTATTAATAGACTCAAAATTTCGTTATATCGATAATGGACTTTAAAAAAAATTTTTTTTTTGAAAATCAAAAAATAAGAATTAATTAATTTGTAACATACTACCAATATAACTTTTTTATAGAAAAATTTTGCAGCCATATTAACATTAATATTAGGGTTAGGGTGAAATTGTGAGAGGAGCATTTTTTTTACTTAGTTACACTCTAGTAAAATTTTGAGTTATAGAAATTATAGGATATGCATATATAAATTTTTCTTAAAAAATGGTTTAGCAGGTAATGCAAACAAAAAATTTCTTGAATCGTCTAAACCTCAACACATAACATACTAAACTCCCTTAGAATTGTTGGCGGGACTGCTAGGGAAGCAAAATAGGTCAGGATAGTCACCACTCGAAACAATACACAAAAAGATCTAACTACCGGGTACAATTATTAGGGGTATAAATGAATGTTTAGAGTAGAATAGAATTGATTTTTTTAAATTGTATTCAGAATTTTTGTTGTTCGAAACTCGAACTACGCTGTTTTTACAACTCAAGCAAATCGCTACGTACTCTATTTAAAAAAGACAAAAAGAAAGTAAAATAAAGGAATTTGTGGTCTCGCCCCTTATTCCATCACACTACTGTTTTGATTCTAACATGATTTCTTCATTTTTTTCTTCACAAAAATATCAGTGACATTTTTGCATGGCCACCCGATTTACCTTACTTATTTACAACCATCTAGCTACACCTAGCAATGGATATCAGATCATTGCCCTTTTTGGCTTGGGTTGGTTCTTCGGCTTACTCCTTATGCTACATCTTTCATCCTTCTTTAGTTCTGGAGCAATCTTGCCAACGATCCGACCACGATTACTTCTTTACCTCTTATCAATTCGGGGCTTTTTAGGCTTGGCCTGATTTTATGCTTTCAGACTATTAAATCACATTTAGACGAAATCTACTGTATGATTTGAAGTTTTTTTTACTGCAATCCTTGTATCTCGTGTCCGCTATCAGAATATATCTAAGTACCTTGTTTATTGTAAAAAATTATTACAAACCTTTCTGATTATTATGGTGACAAAATATTAATACTTGGACGAGTTTGTATTGGAGTTAACGGTCATGGATTATCATAATTTACTATAAAATTGAAATTTTAGTACGAAACTCAATATTTGGAGAGTCGTGAATTCTACTACGGTTTACTATAAAAAATTTTGTTAACTTATTGACGCAATATGTGGTACAGGTTTATTAATGAATTTGAATTATGAAAACATTCTTGATAACTTGCTTATTGATATATTCAGTATATTACTCTTAACATTTTGATCACGTTTTTGTACAACTAATCAAATGTTAGCCTTCCTTCTCATTGCCACTCTTTATTAAGTTAGTGATTACTGCTTGTGGAAAGTCATTCAGTTTATACTTGACTATTTGGAATTGGACTTATCAAAATAATCTGGGCGGCAAAAATTCCAGCCAAAAACTTTTTTAAAAATGGAAAAATCTAGAAATCAACCGCCTAAACCTATAGCTGACTAATAATTTTCTTAGTATTTGACTAACATTACATTCTTTATTTTTTTTATATATTTTCTGCTTTACTTTTCGGCTATATTTGCTATTGTTATTGTTCTTGCACTCGCACTTGCACTTACAAGAACAATTACAAATTGGGAAAGACTATTTTCGAATCCGTGAAACATTTAATTGACTTTTTTAAAATATAGTTGTAAATATTTAGGTAATCAAACAACAGAAACAAATTTGGCAAATAAAAGTTTCACGATTTTAAGAGAGTTGTTTAAGGGCGTTAGTAAATTCAAATTTGGTTGAGAAAATCCATAATCGTACAATAAAACCTGTGATTTTTAATTTTCAGAAATTTCATTTTCAGAAAGAGCTTATAAGATGTGAAATTTCCGACAATCAAGAATTCCAGAATTACCTTTTGCGAACTATAAAATTTCGCTTTTAAGTGATATGTTGTGCATGTTTTGTATCATATATATTTTTTTTTAGAGGGCATATTGCTTGACCATTTAAATTTAGTATATGTTCACTTAAAAATTTTTGATGTTCAAAAACAGTTACAGATAAATATTTGGAGGATCTAACTTTGGTATTTATTTACTAATTTTGATATAAAGATTTTACACTGTTGTATTGACTATTTAAATCTAGTACATGATTTTATTTAAAAAATTTGATGCTTAAAAACAGTTTCAAATTAACATTATAAGATTTGCTTATCGCTCTTTTCGATTTAATTGAATCGATAATTTTTTTGAGTCCCGTGAATCAGTGAATAAAACATAGACATCTACTTTATTTTGTGAAAAAAATTTATTGATAAAGGGGAAAATATATGAATAATTAAACTGTGTCCCGCAAAATATGACGATATAGTATCTCGCAGAGCTCAGAAAAAACAGATCGTTAATCCAACTAAAACGAAAATTAATCTATCTAATCTGGAGATAATGATTCATTGTATAGTATTTTGTTACTGATTTAAGAAAAATATATTATCATAAAATGTTGGATCTAATTGTGTCTAGTTATAATTAAGTTTTTTTTTTTTGGTAGGTTTTTTCTTTTTTAATGTTCATATTTCTGTCTGTTCATTGTCCTTTTGTTTTTTTTAGAACTTTCGGATACACCTTTTCACATAGAAAAATTATTAATGATATCAAAAATATACAATGGCTAGCTTTTTTTAGAATTTTATAATTTTCGTGAGTTCTATGCTCAGAATATATATAAGCATCTTAAATTATTATTCTGTTGAACTACCTTTCTCTTAATTACTTTCAATTTTTTTTTTAAAAAAAATCTTTCTGTTAAACTACTCGCTTGATTTTTTCTGGTTCGTTTTTTTTTTTTTATTATCATATATTTATCTACTATTATTATTGACTATTCTATATATTTGGTATTTAGATAATGAATTCTAAAGCTTTTGGTCACTTTTGGACTCTCGTGATCATTTATTTTACTGTTACTCTAGCATATTCGCCTAAACACCTCTTTTCTCGAATCATATCTGGTTGTAATGGTACCCTTCCTTGTACAGCTAGTTGTGGAAGCTGCATTACCAATATTACGTCTTGTACTTTTACGGATCTATTTATTTGTAATGGAGACGTAACTTCTACTTCTTGTGGAACTCCTCCTATCCAATGTCACTTTAATTGTGGATCTACTTGCAACTATACTTGCACTAATTGTACTTATGGCGGTGCAAATGGTACAACATGCACCGTGTGTGCCTAGAACTTTTTTTTTTTAATCTTTTATTTTCGATTTTATAAAAATACTTCTTTTATGATTTGATGATTGGTTTAAACTTATCATTTATGCTTGCGTAACTATCGTTAATTTAAAAAAAATTGGTTCAAAAATTTTTTTACTAATCAATTATTAATTGTAAAATTTGTATTTTCTTTTATTTAAAAGCTACACATATTTAAAGGTCCTTATTGTTAATGCATTTGTTGGGTAACCGGTCAAATTTTGGTTGATATTTATAAGTTTGCTATATTTTATTTTTATTTACTTATTTATTTCATTTATTTTATTTATTTCATTCATTTTTATTATTTTATTGCCTTTTTTTTTAAAAAAAAAAAACCATCAATTTTGTCCTGAATTTGTCCCAATTGTCCCATGTACAATACTGCAATAATCTTCCTTGGTATCGTCATAAAAATTTATCTACATGTGACTAATGCCAAATTATTTACAGTATATTAAGTGTTATTTTAGGTTATTTGTTAATAAAATATATATTAGAATTGCTCAATAAAAATCTTTCTTATCGTATAGTTGTAAAATAATGCTCATGTGTAGTGCTTGGATCCATTTAAAAGCTCCAATGAATTTTCTATTGGATATCCGATAACGAAAATATATTTGCAGATAGTTGGATATCTGTTAAACTATCCGATACTTCGATTAATAATGATGATACGTTAATACCGTATCAGTTATTTTCGCGAAATAACGTGCAGAGGTGTAATTACGAAATTTGGCCAGGATTAAGCTTAATTCAGGCCTAAATTCCAAATAAACTATGGGATATTTCGATTAATGATGATACATTATGATTAGCATAAATAACATATTTTTTATCTTGAGCGCAAAAAAAAATTTTTTGATACATTACATATTTATAGTCGTAATAATGGGTAGTAACGATTATTTATCTAGCGAAACCTCAAGCGAAATTTCTCTGAGTTGCTCGAATAGTAATATTGTCAACATTTATAATGTTAATAACGTTATTACAGTACTTGCTATGCATTGGTAACATTAATAAAATACATATTCTGATTGCGCCTATACTGTAGTCAGGGTTGGGCGTTTTGTGTTAGTTTTAAATTATTGATGTAAGTTACATGTAAGTTATATCTAAAATCTTGTATCTTAGTGTAAATTTGCAAAATCATGTAAGTTATATGTAAGTTAAAATATAACTTACAAAATTTGCCCAACCCTAACTGTAGTTAAGTTTGACAAAAATTTCTATTTAGCTTATTTGTTATAAAATGTTCATTATATCTAGAATCGACTATATTTTTGATTAATCCAACGGATTTAGTCAGTTAATTTACAAGCTAATATCCGAAATTCGCAACTATCCAAAATATAGACTAAATGGATAGTCATTATCCACTAGATCCACGCTCTAGGCTAAAAATTTTAATCTTTTTAATTATTATTGGCACATAAAATATATAGGTAGCTTCGCTACCTTTTATATTTAAGTATTGCCAAAAATGAGTCTTCAGAAATTCAGTTTATAACTTATCGTATTTTTTTTTGAAAAAAAAAAGCCATATACGCAATTAAATTAATTATGCATTTTTTATTAGCTCTTACCTGCAAGAATATTAAACACGTTTATCTTAATAGAATTCTGAATATATAATTCACTAAGTAATTCCAAATATGCCTATCAATCCAAAAATTGTCTTATTTTGTAGATTAGTAAAATAGCCCTTATAACAGCAAGTCAATTTTTTATTTTTTTTATTTTTTTTTTGTGCAAATATTAAGTTTAGTTAAAATGAAAAGCTAACGTGGTTATGAACAAATTTTAAAATAGAAAAATAGAGAATCGTTAAAGCCAGGTTATGCAGTATGTAGATTGATATATTACTAAAATTAATTTTAACAAACACCTAAAATAGATAACTGTAATAAAACAAGATGTATATAATTATATAATTGCATTTATTAACCATTATTGCATGAGATTAGCAATCAAAATTTCCTATTACGCTATAAAAAAGAAAATTTTCTTCTGTCATTTTTATATATGCTTTGATTCTAGATACAAATTCTAGATATTGCTTCTAAATTCTAAAATGTTGCATGTACATAGATAAATTTGAATATGTGAACATGCAATCCAATAGTATGCAAGAGTTTGTATACAGGTAGTTGCCTGTAAAACATATAATTCATACTTCGTACTATGTTCCTGGTATACACTTCATTGTATTCTGATCCTTGTGTGTGTCACAAAATATTTAACGCATAATAATTACAGGATTAATTCAATTGACAAATCTGTATTTATGCGATTGATAACTACAGTAGATTAGCCCCAATTTTATTCAAGGAATCAATAATTTTTACAGTATTGATATTAAAAGAATAAACCACAATGACAAGTTTCATGTTTGTACAAATTCAAATAATGTCAAAAATGGGCTAATAGAAAATGAAAATTGGCATTAATATAAAATAGCAAACTTTTACTCATACAGTGCACAAATACAGAAACCATATGACAATTCATAAGTAACATGCTCCCAATTAAAAGTTATAGATTTTTTACATCACTTAACTTGCCAGTAAACCATACACTTCGTTATACTCCATTCCTGGTATATTTGTTCTGATTCATTTCACAATTTAGGTTGATTCCGAATTGACCTAAGTCATTTCTAAATTTTGAAATGATTTAGGTTATTTCTTAATCGGTGAAAATGTATGACCAATAAAATATTAATTATATCATAAAGCAGTCAAATAATTTTACATATAAAATTTTAAAAGAAATTTCCATAAATTATTTTATAAGAAATAAGAGATTTGCATAAATTATTGCTATAAAAATTTAAAAAAGAATCTTATTAATTTCTACATTCACCACGTAAAACACACCCACATCATCGTGTACATAGCAAGTTACACTTTCAGCAAGAACAAGTATTAGAAGAGCAGTTAGTTTTTTGGCAATGACAACCATTTGAACGATTGTTTTGAAGTGGTTGATTATTGTTAGATTATTAAAATTAACTTATTAGCTCATTGTAATATTGATATAATTTATAATAAATTATTATTACTTACTTAATAATAATATCACTGCTATTATTATTTTGTCTTGAAGACTGATTTAATAGGTTATTGGTTTGTTTAAAACTTGCTTGTCTCAATGAAATCATTTTGTTCGAGGAACTATATTAAGAGAAAGATAATTAGAGGTTTTTAGTGGCTCAAGTTCGCTTGCCAGAAACAAATTTTCAAGTATTCTATACTGGCAAGCAACTTGAAATAAATTAATATTAGGCTTTTTTTGAAATACTGTACTTTGCAGAATAAGCATCTTTAACTCATTTTATTCTTGTCAATATCAAGTATACAAATTTTTATGAATTTTCTGGGTTTGAATGTACGACTACATTTAACCTTATATTTATCTTCTATTTTACTTTATATAAGCTTCTGGTTTCTTTTTATATTTAAAATTGCTGATTGTTTAACTATTTCATACTTTTTAAAAGACAGACAGGTCAAGTATGGCTATGAAAAAAAACAAATAAAAAAAAATAAACATTTGGTTATTAATATTTTTTAATTTATTTATTAATTCGTAAATAATTTAACTAACTTTAATTACATTCAATTGAGCTCACCACTTCTTTTTTTCTTGCATAGTGTAATGCTAATTATCATCATCTGAATTAATAATTTTAATAACTTCTGGAGCTAGTGTATATGTAGAATGCTCTTCAATTTCAAAATTATTATCTGAATTAATGATTTTGGTAAGTCCTGGAGCATGTGTGTTTTTAAAACCCTCTTCAGTTTCAGAATAATATAACAATAATAGATTATCATAAATTTTTTATGCGTTATTATCATTGATATCTTGATCATCTGGATTATTAATTTCTTGTATTTCAAAATCTAAATCACTATAATTTTATTGAACTTGTTCTATATCACTATAGAATTCTGATTTTAATATTTCACTACTATTGTCAAAAATAATAGTTAATTGGGAATCTTCAGGTTTTAGGATGTAATTATTTAATAACTTCTCACTTTTGTATATATAAATTAAATTGTTATTGCAGTAAAGAGCTGTTTAAATACTACTTTATGAGGAATTGATTTATGCATGCTACAATACTGAGTGTCCATAGCCCCTAAATGATTATAATAATTTTAATTAAATTAAAGCAATAAATAAAATTAAATAAAATAAAAATTAAATAAAAAATAGGGATAAATAAATAAAAAAAAAAACATCAAAAAATAATAAATAAGTAAATAAAAAAAGTTAAATAAAAAATAAAAAAAATAGAAAAAATTTAATAAAAATTATACGGTGTTCCATTTGGGCCAAAAGTGCAAAATTTTGAAATTTGAAAATTGAAAAATTCGAAAATTTGAAAATTCGAAAATTGAAAAATTCGAAAATTTGAAAATTTGAAAATTGAAAATTTCGAAAATTGAAAATTTCGAAAATTTGAAAATTGAAAATTCTGAAAATTTGAAAATTGAAAATTTTGAAAATTTGAAAATTGAAAAATTTTAAACTTCTAAATATAGTAATTTGATTACCAAATATGAAGTGTAGATAATATAGGTCACGTGAACTTTAAATTTTGTGTCCCTTGACACATGCTCGTGGGAAGGCCAAATTTCGAATGTCACGTGACTATTATATATATATTTGGCAATTAAACTACTATATTTAGAAATTTAAAATTTTTTAATTTTTCAAATTTTTGAATTTTTTAATTTTTAAATTTTTAAATTTTTGAATTTTTGAATTTTTGAATTTTCAAAAATTTGAAAATTTAAAAATTCAAAAATTCAAAATTTTAAAAATTTGAATTTTGAATTTTTCAAATTTTCAAATTTTAAACTTTCTAAATATAGTAATTTAATTGCCAAATATAAATAACAGTCACGTGACATTCAAAATTTAGCTTCTCACAAGCGCAAAAGTATCGTTTATGATAGATCTGCGGTTGCTTTTTTGATAGGTCTAAAATGTAACCCAAAATTGATTTACATTCTTGATGCGTTTATTGTGTAACCTATGCCTCGCAGTCCATTTTTTTTAGAACAGAAAAATAAAAAATTTTAAAATTATTCGATGAATTTTTTTTTTACTTTAATTCTATGAATCCATAGAATTTAAATAAAAAAAAATATCTGATGGTTGTGGAGATATCTTCGCTCAAAGTTAGATAAAAATCAAAACGCCTATTAAAATAGAAGCTGTACCAATTTTTTAAACCGTTTTGAGTGAAGCTATCTCCATAACCACCAGACCAAATTTGATAATTTTTTTTTTATTTGAATTCTATGGGTCCATAAAATTTAAATAAAAAAAATCCATCGAATTTAGTCTGGTGGTGGTGGAGATATCTTCGCTCAAAGTTAAAGAAAATCAAAATGTCTATTTAAATTAAAGCTACGCCAATTCTTTTAAAAAAAATTGAGCGAAGATAATCTCCACAACCACTAGACCAAATATGATAATTTTTTTTAATTTAAATTCTATGAATCCATAGAATTTAAATAAAAAAATTTTATCGAATTTTGTCTGGCGGTAGTGGAAATATCTTCGCTAAAAGTTAAAAAAAATCAAAACGTTTATCAAAATTAAAACTGTGCCAATTCTTTAAAAAATTTGAGCGAAGATATCTCCACAACCACCAGACCAAATTTGATAATTTTTTTTTTTATTTGGATTCTATGATTCTATAGAATTTAAATAAAAAAAATTCATCGAATTTGGTTTGGTGGTAGTGGAGAAATCTTCGCTCAAATTTTTTTTAAATAATTGGTGCAGCTTTAATTTGATAAACATTTTGATTTTTTTTTAACTTTGAGCGAAGATATCTCCATTACCACCACACAAAATTCGATGAATTTTTTTTATTTAAATTCTATGGATTTATAGAATTCAAATAAAAAAAAATTATCAAATTTGGCCCAGTAGTTGTGGAGATTATCTTTGCTCAATTTTTTTTAAAGAATTGGCACGCTTTAATTTTGATAAACGGTTTGATTTTTTTTTAACTTTGAGCGAAGATATCTCCACTACCACCAGACCAAATTCGACGAGTTTTTTTTATTTAAATTATACGTCTTCATAAAATTCAAATAAAAAAAAATTTATCAAATTTGGTCCAGTAGTTGTGGAGATATCTTCGCTCGAATTTTTTTAAAGAATTGGCACAGCTTTAATTTTGATAAACGGTTTGATTTTTTAACTTTGAGCAAAGTTATCTCCACTATCACCAGACAAAATTTGATAAATTTTTTTTTTATTTAAATTCTAAGGATTCATAGGATTCAAATATAAAAAAAATTATCAAATTTGGTCCAGTGATTGTGGAGATTATCTTCGCTTAATTTTTTTAAAAGAATTGTAGCAGCTTTAATTTAGATAGACGCTTAGATTTTTTTTTAAATTTGAGTGAAGATATCTCCACCACCACCAGACCAAATTCGATGAATTTTTTTTTATTTAATTCTATGGACTCATAGAATTCAAATAAAAAAAAAAATTATCGAATTTGGTCTGGTGGTTATGGAGATAGCTTCGCTCAAAACGGTTTAAAAAATTGGTACAGCTTCTATTTTAATAGGCGTTTTGATTTTT